CTAAAACGCTAAAGCGCCAAGGCAAAGGCACAATTACGCGGAAGTGGACCAGTTTCTGCTGCGTCGACTTTTACGGCGGCGTGGGCCAACGTGCCAATCCTTGGAAAATGGCCTTATTCGGGTGGCCGAATAATGCTTTGCTCCCGAAACGTCCGTCCCTTGCACCGCCGATTCCGAGAGTCGTTTTCGTCGCTCTGCCTCTCTCGCACTCATGGGGCGTCCCGTATGGGTGAGAGAGAGAGAGAGAGAGAGAGAGAGAGAGAGAGAGAGAGAGAGAGAGAGAGAGGAGAGAGAGGAGAGAGAGAGAGCGACGAAAGCGTCGGAGCGGCGAGACTCCGCGCGGCAGCGGCGCTACCCCGGCTGTCCTCCAGGCCTCCGCGACGAGCCGCGGCGGCGGCCTTCCCTCGCGCAGGTGGACGAGGTGGACCTGGGGCGCAGGACGATGACCACGATGCCGGGCACGACGGCCACCTCGAGGACGCTGCTGCAGACGACCTTCCAGTCGAGTCCCCCGAGCGGCAGGCCGCCGGCTGCCTGGAGGATCTCCGGCAACCTGGTCCACTTCTTGACCGCCAGCGCGAGGGTGGGTGACGCCGCCTGCACCGTCAGGGCCAAGTCCAAGGCCCTCGCCCACCACCGCAGACCCTGCAGACTGATTCCGAGAGTCGTTTTCGTCGCCCCCTTGGGCCTCGAAGGCAGAGCGGCGAAAACGACTCCGCAGCCCGCCGGCCCGGCAGTGCCCTGGCGGCACGGGGTTGCGACGGGCGGCGCCGGAGTATCGCCGCAGCGCCGCTCGCCGAGCGCGCGCGAAAGCAGTCTGATCGAATAAATTAATTTGTCGAATTTCCTTTCATTGTCCTCTGCACAGGCTTTTTAGCGCAGATTCTTTTCTCACGGTTTAGAAAACAATGTCTGACGTTTTCTGTTTTAATGTCCTAATTTTCTATCTACGTATTTATTTCGTTGCAGGCCCTGTCGGCGATGCGGGGTGCAGAACCAATTTCGATGGAAATATGCACTCCGCGACGTGATAGCCTCCAGCAGGACGTCAGAGCGACAAACGTACCCCAGTCGCCCTTTTCTCTGCGTTCAATCAACTATGTACTTATTTCTCATTGTTGTATTGTTGAATTATGAAGTATATATTTCAAACAAAACCCATTACCTCTGTTTTGTGTTAGCTTACTTTTAATGTATCATCTGCTAAGAAGGCGCAAAGGCGCCGCTTTGAGAGGCCCCCTGGGTACTTCTCTTCTTTCTCAAACTCCGTCCAGAGTCCAACCACCAATCTAAGTTTGGGCCGGCCAATTCGTAGAGTCTTGGTAGCTCACTGCGCAGAGGACATGGGCACTGTGTGAGAGGTACTGGGTTCAACTCACAGGCGCTGCGCAGAGGACATGGGCGCTATGTGAGAGGTACTGGGTTCAACTCACAGGCGCGGCAACGCGCAGATCTTTTCTTTTGCTCGTCTTCCCTGAGGCGTGCCAAAGGGGTGGCCTACCAGCCCGGCGCGGTGCAACATGGGAAGTAAAGAGTTGAGAGGAAATGCCGCCTCTAACAAACGGGAATTTCGCTGGTCAGGGAACTTCTCAAGTCGGCCCACAACCATCTAGACACTGCTGAATCGTGCGACGGATCGTGGATTTGAGGTCCTTGCGCGGCTCCACGCCACGTTGTGCTGCCCTCATGGTGCTGCCGTTCGGCTGTCGTTCGCTCGCGGGGGCTGCTCCGCTCGCCACTTTGACTAGTCTGCAAGCATGATCCTCTTTGCTTGCCGAATGTAAATCACTCCGCCATCACTCTCCTGAGCGCTTTCTAGGTGCTCGGCGACAGAAACCGATTTGTGAGTGGACAGCGGAGGGAATGCCCTCAAAGGCAGTCCCACCGCAGTTCCGCTGGCCGCCGCGAGAGCACGCCCGGCGCGGGTTTTGCTGTCGTTCGCTCGCGGGTGCATCTCAAGTCGATATTGTTACCACTATGAAAAGCCAATACCTCATCGCTCCCTACTGCTTCTGAATCGACGCGGAAAATTTCTCGCATTTCCCGCTCAAATCCCGCGCTGGATCGCCAGGGCCGGCTGGGCGGCCCGCCGGCGGCCAAAAATGTCCTGCAGGGACCGATTTTGTGACTTTTCGACGGAATTGAGGCTTCTGATTGGTTGAAACCGGTCACGTGACCAGTCACGTGACCAATTTTCGGCCGCGGCAGCCAAATGTCCAGCCGGCCAGTGCCTTCCTCGGGAGGTAGCCTAGGATGACTTGCCTCTTGATTGTCCAGCCTGGGGCCTGGTGGCTGATGGACATCAGATAGGAGGATAAATGAATCTCACCGCCTCGGGCGAAAGATACGAGGGTGTTGCTCATGGAGTAGTCAAAGCAGCGAGCGTGGCTACCACCGCGAGCGAACAGCCAGCGCTGCGATCTCGCGGGGGCTGCCCGAACTCAACCACAAAGACTTTGGGGGAAGAGGGGACCAACTGCCAAGCATCCGCCCCTTCGAAACAGTCTTGCTTGCTGACCACCCAAAAGGGCGAGCGACACTGCCACCGCGAGCGAACGGCAGCCGGAAGCGGTCGGAAGGCACCACAGTGCGACGGCTGGCCGAACCGAGCAAGGACCATGAGTGACTACAATTTTTCAAACCTTTCAGCAGTGTTTGGATGGCTGAAAGAGTAGAGGGGCACGCCCTCGTGATAATACTCTGATTTCTAATCTCAGATCAGTGAATCTTTTCCTATTTCTTGCAGTAGGTATTTCCTCTCATTTCATTATCCTTTATGTTGGACTGTGCCGAGAAGGTAGACCACCCCTTTGGCAAGTCAGAGGGAAGTCGAGCAAAGTATATTACTACGCTTGGAAGTTAAACCCAGGGACTCTCTCTCTCTTTGCACCAAAATAAAAATGACAATGCCGAAGGTTTTTAATTAAGACCCAACAATATACTGTAAACAGAGTTGTTTATTCAATAACATGAATTTTTCCATGAAGTACGGAGGTAGTACCACAAAACAGCAAAAATATCATCACATGTAGATATTTACATAAATAGCAACAATGACAAAAACAACTTAAAATGTCCGCCTAAAGCCTACTCATCACTCCAAAAAAACTCAAGAAAAAGGTGAAAGAAATCTTTGCAAAAAATGAGAAAGGAATAAGATGAATGACTAAAGCAAAATGGACATGACTTACAGAACACTTAAATTATTCTTTCCTCTGCACTGACAAATTACTGTGAGACAAATAAATCACAAATTCATCCACGTACCCACATGACTTCACTTAGAAGGTTTTGCGAACAATCACATGTATGTAGTTTGGGAACATTCATAATTTACATAACACATTAAATTGAGAACCAAGAATATGAACAATAATTACTGGATATGGTGCAAACATTCTTACAAAATAGAGTAAACTTACAAGTGAAATAGATAGCTTTTAAAACCTGTTAAAGAAAACCCAAACTGCATCCAAACCCAGCATCTTATTTTGACATTTCCTTATTGCAACATGAAATGAACAGTCTCAGCATCTATGCCCCTCAAGTAGACATTACAGAGCCTATTACTTCAAGAATCATTCATCAAAAGAAGGAAATAAATTTAATCTAGTCAAGTGACTTCAAATTATTTTTGTATCAAACTAGTTCAAAAAAGTTCATTAATTATATGTTTTAAACGTTCACTGCTGCAATGAAAAAGTCCTAATCAGAAAACACTATTTGTGAGACGCAAAAAAGGTGTTGGCGTCCGTGGCACCACCTGCAGCATCGAGGACTCCACCGGCCGGTGCCTGCTGCGCCTGAGGCTCCGCATCGCCCAGCAGGTAGCAATGCAGGTCCAGGGAGCACTGGGGAGCACGCCATGAAGGAGCACCACAGCCTCGCCAACCACTTGAGCCAGATGAGTGAGAGGGACTGCTCCAGCAACGCAGGAAGGATCGCCTGAGGGAAACAAAATTTCGACACGGTCAGTTGGGGTAACAATGAGACGGGAGAAAAACAGGTCGCACTATTTCTGAAAGGTTACGGAAAATAATTATCAATTCAACAATTGTTTAGGGAGTGTCCCATTAGAACCCCAACTGACCTTACAAGTGAAATTTGATACAAGGGTGAATAGTTGTTACCAGCGGCAAGCTTTGAGTAGTTTTGAGCTTACCTGGAGGAGGATCAGTTCAAGAGATAGTTTGTTGACCAGCCTGTGAGAGTGCTGGGCCAAGTCCAATGCAAACTGCATCAAGGCCAAGAAGTCTTCCACCCATCAGGTCTTCAGCAGCCCGGTCCCACTCAATAGGATTCCAATTAGCTTCATCTGCTGCTGCTTCACCTGTAGGAGTGACTGGGTCGCCAACATCAACATCCGCTTCCTCATCCACATCTGGGGAGTATCTGCGGCATTGACCCCAGCAACATCAGTACCCCACACAGCCTCTGCAACATCCTAAAAGACAACAAAATGAGAATATGAACGAGAATGTTTATTTCTTGTTGATAATTTACCGCAATGTTCACAAAAGTTGTGTCCATTCCAAAATGGAGCACTTTGCTCTCAGTGTGTGTTTTCTGATTATAAACAAAAAAGGAATTTTTATTAATTACATGTCAGTTGAAACACTAGAAAGAGATTTACCAACCTGCCAATTCATGGACGATTATCTGACCAACAGGCTTATCATGATCATCTAGAGCGATGCCTTAATTGTCCTCCCAATGCAATGCTCCATCATGTACAATTTTCTCTTGCAGCCACACAAAATTAATGAAAGTTAGCGGAGTACATGTGACTACAATGCCTCAATCTAGCATATCCAAAGCCACAGATAGAAGTTCAAAGACCTATAACTAAAGATATAAAACGTATTGTATAAAATATCAAAGGCTGAACTTGCCCAATTCAAGTTACAATCACATATAGAATAGATCCACTGAATAATACACAGTATATGTGACATGCTGCTATAGAGGCAAGACGCATAAAGGATGAGTAAAGAGACAAATTTATGTTAACCTTTTTAATTAATTTCTTGTGAGAACAACATTCCTGAGTCAAAGTATGTTCAGAAAAGCAGAACAATAGGCATGATTAAAAAACAACAACTTAAGACATCTTCATACCTGACAAATAGTACATAGGTACAGGTTAACATGAGACATACTAAATAATAATCATTTTCAAGAAATAATCACAGCACGGAACATTATAAACTATCTTAAGTCTTGTACAAACCGGGAGAAGATGAGAAACAATTGTGTTCCACAGTCAATCTTTAAGGCACATTTACTCACAGCATATTTCTCTTGCCTGAGGAATCTACTTCACGTGTCATACATAAAAGGTTCCAGGAGAAAACATAATTCAAAATATTGAAATGAAAAATCTGTGTGGGTAAATCTGTCTTTCATTCATTCATCATCATCAGCAGCCAAAAATTAACACACAGAACATTTCTATTGCATGACGAATCTTCACATGTTATACATTCAAGGTTCCCAAGAAAAAATAATTAAAATGATTCCAATGAAACATCTGTGAGGGCAAATCTGCCTATCACTCATTCATCACCATCATCGTCAGAGTCTTCATCATCAACATCACCACCATCATCAATACGAACAGGAAGGGGTTCTTGAGTGAGAACAAGGGCACGTTCCCACAATTCAGTAGCTAATTGTATCTGTCAGGAGAGAAAAAGTAAAGACTCATTAGTAACACAAACAAAACTACTTTAACCACAGCTGAACTACAATAAATCTTAAAAAATCAATAAATGTTCACACCTTATCTGCATCATTTTCTAGAGGAAGCTCATAAATGGGAGTAAATTTAGGGTATGAAAGAATTAAATGTTCAACTGCGGGAGCGAAATGAACAGGAATCTCAATCCACTGAATATCTTCCCCATGATACTCCAATGAGTTTTCCATAGAATGATAGAGTTTTACACAGTCAGGTTCTTCTTCAGAGACCAACCTGTAAAGACAAGGCAAAAATTGCATTATTACTGTACCAGCAATTTTTTTAAATTTTCCTTAGTTGGAGACTTAAAGTCAACTTACCTCAAGACATTGGAACGAGTGAGTCTGAGAGGAGTCTCAAGTGCTAATATGACAGCTCCTTGGCACTGGCCATTTTCCTTCATTCTATCACTGTTTTCCAGCACTGAACATTTCTTTTCGGCTAAGAAAGAAGAGACAAAAGTGAGACCAGGCTAGGCAAAATTAATAAATAACCAAACACAATGTGATTGGTCTCAAACAATGCCATACCTGATGACAAGCACGGTGGAAGTGCTCCATGAATGTAATCCTTGGCTAGCTGATCAGAGGCTGCATCAACAGGGGCATAGTCAAAAAGCTTGCTGAACAGACGCTTTAATTTCTTCATAATGGCCTTTCTTTCAGGTGATTCTGAATCAGAATGAACTGCTCCTAAGTGATTCAATACATCAAGTGGCATGCCCTTTCTAAAGTCTTCATCTTCATCAATTGCGTTAGATAAAGCTGCTGGAACAAGCTGAAATGGACATGCACATACGTCAGAACAATACTGAATTTTCATCAAGTGATTTTCCAAATGACATCAATTTGGAATGGACTATTTTAACCAACCTTCTCTAGCAGGTCTGCCCAAGAATTTCTCTGATAAGCTGATATGGTTACATGCAGGGAATGCTCGCCTGGCACAGTGTTTGCCTGATGAATAAAGCCCCGAGGGAAATATAAAATGTCCCCTGCTTTCAAGTGGACTTCAAGAAGTGGTTCACCAATTTCTTCTTGAGTAAAATTAGGGCTAGATGTTCTAGGCAATGTTTCACTTGCATCCCTGCAAAGAAGTTCAAACATCAGATTCTACAAGAGTTCAAGTTCAAGTGAGAAGTAGAAGAAATTAATCGGACCTTGGAGCATATACACGCCACATTTTGCTGCCTTCAATTTGTAGAACAAATGCCTCTATGTCATCATAGTGCGGTGCAAATCCTTGGGAGTTGGGGGGAGTGAGGTAAGCATTGCTCCCAACAAAAGAACCAAACACTTCCTGAAGCCTTGTATTCAGCTCTCTCAGTTGAGCATGATAAGTCTGAGGGTTCAGCAGACGTATGCTACAACCATTGCGATAGTAGTCCCACACTACTGCAGCATGGGCACGTCCAGTCTATAGGCAATCAAGATATAAATTAAGGGGATACAAAAAGTAGAGTGAGAAAAGCCTGAAATGTAACAGAAAACTAGGTCTCACCGAATTCAGAGTTTCTCTTTTCTGATTAGTGTATGATGTGATGTCAATATTTTTTCCATACAGAATATTATTCTTGCGCAGCATAGCATCAATGCCAGCTGTTGACAAAAGACCACTGTAGTAGTCACGGTTTTCTTCTCGACCAATGTGGACAGGTCTCTTCTCCCAATAAAGACTACATGCAATAAATCCAACGGGCACTTAGTAATGAATCACAAAACAGGAGGGAGAAACAAATAAATTGAGGAATTAGATAAGATTTTTAAAAAATACCTGAAGAAATCCTCTTTGCTGATTGGGTCCATTAACCATGAGAAGAAATTTTCAGCAATCTGTACACTGCTTTCAGAGCCTGACAAAGAAACTGATTCAGATTCTGAAGCTTTGGAACCTGACATCGACTGGGCTGGAGAAGAGGCATGTTTCTTAGCCTTAGAAGAAACAGCAGGATGCCGGTTTCCTTTCGCAATTGAAGACGAGTCTTCCTTAGCCACTGACAGCACCTTAGTGGGAGAATCTCTTTTGGCCCCAGAAGATTTCTGGTTGGATTCCTGTACACTTTTCGGACTATCGTCAGATTTGCTGGTCCTGCAGAATGAACATAAATATAAGCAAAGAGCCAAACTTAAAATGCACTTCATTTCATAGTGGTACTCACTTCTTTTTCTCCTTCACAGAGCCATTGTTCAACTTGGTCTTTTTCGGTGCTGATAACAAAGGAACAACAATTAATGAACGAAAATAAATATACGAAAGCTCAAATAAAAGCCAGGCCATACCTTCGACAATAGTGATCATTGGTTCCTTTCCGCTGACTGCAGTTTGTTCGGCATCTTTACCAGAGCTCCTCTTCGAATGTTCTGAAGCAGCTTCAAGTAACTCACTGGCAGCCAATGTATTAAGCTTGAACTGCTTTCGTTTAGCAATCTTTCTCTTCCTTTTCTCTTTGAGCCTGGCAGCATTCTCTTGCCTCTTATCAGCATTATTGAGCTGATACACTTCGTACGCTGACATTTCCGAAACAGCTACCATTTTCTGTTGACAAGTTAAAAAATTCACGGGCAAGTCAAAGATAGATAACAATTTTCCCACTAACCTTTAAATCTAAAACAACAGGGGTTGCTGCTGGGCTCTAAACAGATATGATTTGAGATTGTGCAGCTTGAACAGGTGTAGGGGAGCATAGAGGCATCAAGGGGTATGGGCGGCTGACTGATTCCGAGAGTCGTTTTTGTCGCTCTGTCTCTCTCGCACCAAAGAACACGCCCCATGAGTGGGAGAGAGACAATGGGACGAAGACGACTCTCGGACTGCAAGTGGAGGGAGCATCGGAGCTGCGCTGCGCGTATTTAAGCGAGAGCATCCCGTCTAGCCTTGATCTGAAACGTAAGATGTGAGGCAAACTAAAGATTTCCATTTTCTACCCGGTAAACGAGATGAGCTACATCCCAAAACCTTTCGGACAAGCTTTAAAATTGCCGGCACCTCTCGAAACACGTGTGGTGGTTTTCGCGCTTCAGAGAGGAGAGTTCTCTCACAAACAAGTTACGTTTGAGAACAGGGCAACATGCGAAACGAAGTTAGAAATTAAGGTCAGGGAGAATCTTTCACTGCGACGAAAACATACTTGTCAAATAGATCTCTGAACTCTCACAGGAAAATTGCACAAATAAACTTCACAAGCATCAAACAACCAAACGAAACAACAAAACCTAAACTCAATTGCAATATGGATGTTGTTTTCATCTCTGCAAAGCAACAGAAGACTATCAATCATGAGAAATTCATGATTCGCCTAGCAGTACCACTCCCGCAAAACGAAAGTGTCTTGACACCTGAAATCTGCCAAAGAGTACGTCAAAGCAATGTCAAACCATAAAAATACCTTCCAATTGTCAACCAGTGTTTTCCACTTTTCCATGCTAAGCGCAGATCTTGCGCACTTCCGAGTGGACCCTCCGTTCTGCACTTTCGCACGTTGGCAAAATTGCCCTGCCAGCATCGCCACCGGAATTTTGTTATATTTACATTTACATCACTCGTCCAATATGTCTCGCAATAAATCTAACAAGGATTTGGACTCTTTGAAGAAAGAAGATGTCGTCCAAGCAGTTGTCGTTGCTGACAATTTCAGTGATGCCTTTGTTCCTTTGACAAATGAAACTCCATCGGTGAGCTCTAAACACATAACCTCTTAACATTTCATCATTTTTGTGTATTAAAATTTATCTAAATTTTCCAATGATTTCTGACGACTGAAGTTTGATTTTACCCATTTCTCGAAATACTGAGTTTAATAAAACCCATTGAAATGTGAGCACAGTTGTGGCATAAATATCCACAGCTGACATATGGTTTCTTTTCTTGTTGTAAGCAAAATAAATAGAAATTGGAAATGTGTTTAAAAATTAAAATTTTACAATATTACATCCACGTAGATCTTTTGTCTAGTCTCGTATTATGGTGGCACTTCACCTCACAGAACCTTCCAGCTTACATCGTCTCATACTCATTTGTTAACCACTCACTTCTTGTATTGTTCATTTGTGTATTTTTGCTTTGTTTCAGTGTTTGCTGCCTTTAGTGAACACTTGTTTACTCGATCACACTCTGGAATGGCTTTCGAATTCTGGAGTTCAGGAAGCTTTCTTGTTTTGTAGTAGACATGTTGAGAAAGTCAAAGAACATATCAGGTAAGTAAATGATAATACTATGAGACTCCTGCAATTTTGGGTTACCTTTGACTGTATGTTTGCTATGTTAGTCATCTTTAAGACCTCTGAAAACATCTCTCAAAATTTCTTCTGGTCTCAGCGATTTTGACTCTGCTTATCGTCTTCTGATTCAATTTCTGTTGCAGGAAATCAAAATGGGGTGATAGCACCAGCCCATTGTTATTGAACACGATTGTTTCTGAAACATGCCTAACTCTGGGAGATGCTATGAGAGATTTAGATGCTAAAGGCCTTATAAGGGGAGATTTTATACTAGTGATGGGCGATACTGTTGCCAATGTCAACTTGTTACCTATTTTGGAAAAGCACAGGTACGATTGCAACCCAGTGATTCCTGTTATTATTGGTTATTGCTGTTGTGGACTTAATATGAAAGCATTTTTGTTTATCCTCTATTTAGAAAACTGCAAAAGGTTGATAAAGGGCTAGCAATGACTGTTGTTTACAAATATGCTGGTCCATCCCACGTTGGCCGAGCTCCTCAAGATGATGTACTTGTGGCTGTCGACAAAAAGACCAGCAAAATATTATTTCATCAAAAACGCATTGCATCAAATGACAATAAGAAGGTGCACATACCTATGGTAAGAAAAAATCTTTCATAATCTCCATTGCATCTTGGTATTTTAGTTTATAGTACTGTGCTTAGTGGTACCTTAAATTATTTTGCTTCATTTCTTTCAGGAAGTCATTTTAGATCGCCCCTCAATTGACATCTATAATGATGTAATAGATACTCATGTTTCAATTTGCTCTGTATCAGTGTTGCCATTATTTAGTGACAATTTTGATTTCCAAACTCGTGAAGATTTTATCAAAGGTCTTTTGATGAATGAAGAAATTCTTGCAAGTTCACTTGCTGCTTATTGTCTTAGTGACAGAGAATATGCTGCATCTGTCAATAGCTGGCACATGTACAAAAATGTCACGTGAGTAAACCTTGATTATTTTTTTATTCAATTTCAAAAATTTAATAAAGAGAAACTAATTTATTTCTTTTATCCTTTAAATTCTAGGCAAAATATGATCCATCGGTGGACTTTTCCACTTGTGCCAGACATGTTCACTAATGAGAAGGAAATATATCAGTACCTTAGAGGAAATGTCTACAAGCAACATCCTGTTACTCTTGCAAGGTTTCTTCTTTCTTCCTGTTTTTATGATACCGTAGTTTTGTGCTTCTCTGAATCTGCAAACCAAACTTCAGTGTTGAATGTTTTCTGTATATCAGGAGCAGTATTATTGAGGATGATACTGTTATTGGTGGTGGTTCAGAAGTTGGAGAAAGTTCTACTATTCGAAGATCTGTTGTCGGTCGCAATTGTCACATTGGGAATGGTGTGAAAATTGAAGATTCCTATGTTTGGGATGGCTGTATTATCAAGGTACTCTTTTGTATTCTTGGGCACAAAACACAATCTGAGAATTCTACTTATACTATTCATCTTTTTATTTGTTACAGGATAATTGCACTATTCAAAGGTCTGTCGTAGGCAGCAACTGTGTTGTGGGTGAGGGCTCTGTTTTATCTCAAGGTTGTATATTGGGTCAAGGAGTACAGTGCCCTCCTGGTTATACGGGCAACACCCGGCTTCAATCATGTCAAGGTACGGCGAGGGATGTGCTGTGCTTTCCATTGATACATCCTTTGTTTTAACTCGGCATTTACATTTCTGTTTCTTAGGTGATGATGATGATTTGGATATGGTTGGGGATGCTGCGTATATTGTGAAGTTGGACAATGATGATTCAGACTCAGAGGATGATGAAAACCAGCAAATCTGGAGTGATTTGTATTGTAGCAACCAGATTGAAGAAGTTGATGGTGATAGCGATGAGTCATCAGAAATGAGTGATGAAAGTGATCGGTCTATATCACCAGTGCTTGATGACACAAAGTGTAGGTTCTAGTCTTTTTATTTCTGCATTTTAAAAATTAATCCTTTTTCACTTATGTATGTAACATGTCAACTTATTTTGGCAGTATTCTACAATGAGGTGGTGGACTCCTTGAAACGTGGTTATGAAGATAAACTTCACTGTGATAACCTGATTTTGGAAATCAATTCCTCTCGTTATGCATACAATGTTAGTATGCGAGAAGTGAATTTACTTGTAGTGAAGGCAATATTGAACTTGCCTAAATTGGAATCTGGTTCATATTTACCACAATTGTGGCCACTTCAGACTTACTTCATGCCCATTTATAAAAATTACATTAGAAACCCAACTGCACAAATTGATTGTTTACAAGCATTGCAGGTATGTTAGGATAGAGTCTAAGTGCTGCGGGTTTGTGAGATGGTGGATGGTTGGAAGTCTGACTCTCATCTCATTATTTTATTCCTCCCCCTTCAGGAGCTTGCGATGGCGGAACAAGAACTTTTAACTGCTGTCCCAAAATTACTCAGTGTTTTGTATAATCAAGATATCTTGAATGAAGAAGTTATATTAAAATGGCATTCTGAATTAGAAGGAGACTCTGAAGCCGAAGACCTTTACAAAGTGGTAAGTTCATGTACTGTATAGACAGTTCTTTTTTTCATAAAAGTAACTTTTTGTTTGTTTGATTTGTATTTTATGCTTTGGAGACTTCACAAAGATTTTTCTTTCACAGGCTGGTCCATTTATTAAATGGTTAGAAGAGGCTGAAGTAGAGTCCGAAGATGAGTCTGACTAATTTGTACAGTGTGATAAGTGTGTCATTGTTGGTAAGCCACTTGAGTCTTTGTGATTATGACAACTATGTTTTGTCATTAATAAAAAGGCAAGAGGAAACAACACAACTTTTTTGTTCATTGTTTAATTTTCCCCATCTTTCCCCAATCATGTCTACAGAAAATTCTCAAAATCCAACCAGTTTCAAGATCTGCAAGATCCAAATTGCTCTGTGGTAAATCTACTTTTTAAATTTGCTTTTAGTGTACGAAGTTCAAACACTTGACAGTTCAAGAACACATTTGCGTTAAATAGTACCCATTTCAAAAATAGTATTAACTTCATTCACTTTCATCAAAAATAATTCTGCAACTAAATTTTACCTTAAACAACCTTTGGTGCATCGCTCAAGGTAGCACTGATTTCTACAGAAAACAGATTCACAAGTCACTGGCCATTCAGAGGATTCATGCACAGTTGAGAACCAAACTTCAACGTTATACTAGTCTCAATCTCAAGGTTTTGCCTGGATGCCATATCATTCCCAAAAAAACAACAACAACAACAAAATCTTTTGCCACTATGAAATAGCTGAAATTTTAAAAAAGCCTATGTTCACAGATTTTTGTTTGGATTAAGTACTTTCCCATATTAAAAAGAAGCTACACTTTTCACTTGCATTTTTCACCAAGTCGGCAAAGTGAATATATTCACCCTTCTAGTTGCTAACTTTTACTGGCATATGAATAGCTTTGTCAGCCGAGTCTAAACAGTGTGATATAGAGCTAAGAAAAAACAAAATTGTTTTTCTGTTGTTTATCCTCTACAAGCTAGTTTTTGGAAAGAAACATGATATTTTTTCACTACAGTTCAAAATTCATGAAGCTTATCTAGGAACGTAACAATTTAATTAATGTGACCTAGTTATTTGTACAATTCTACACTTTGATAGAATAAATATGTATACTTCAACAGTTCGTTGACTACTATCTCTTGCATTGTTCAAATTAAGATCTAGAGGCAAGTTTCAAAGCATACTCTAATCACTTGTGTTGTCGATGTATAGGGTACTATATCCTGCTTAGTGCCAATGGAGAGGATCATAAGACTGGAGTCAGGAATGGTTTGACTACAGTATGTTAAAATGCTTTTGCTTCATCTTCTCTGCATGCATGTGTGACATCAAGGCACACATTTTCACCTCAAATAACTTTTTAAAACAATGAAACTTTTGATGCTTCAACATCATATTTCTACTTTTCCCATTATTTTAAAATAATGGTATTTGTTTTTTAATGACTTAAAGTTGAAAAATCGCCAACTACAATATATTAAGACAACAGCAACAAGAAAATGAAATATTTACAAAAACAAAAACACTAACATAAAAGAATCATGACTGATTTTTTTTTTTTTTTTTTTAAAGAAGCAGAAGCAGAAGCTATATGCTGTACCTAACACCTTTGAGCCTGATTGATGAGTGTATTTCACTTGCAGAAGAAAAATTTTGCATTGAGTTTCTCTGATTGTCCGTGCAGTCTAAGCGAAAGTTGAAGGTCAATATTCTACAATCCATCTCATTATGAGAAGGTGCATAGTGTAACGTTTTTGTTTTGGATAGAGGAAACCAATACTTACAAAAATAATCAATGACTCTTCACAAAAAGGATCAGAATCCCTGTGTTTCATTGATTACTATGCACAAAAGCTGAACACTCTTGCATGTATTGCATAACTTTTCTTAACGTCTACCATCTGTAATCACTAATAGGCTCTAGTTCATTAATTTTTCATTTTTGCAGTAAACTACCTTCTTGAAGAAACTGTTGCTTAAGCGATATGAAAGACATCACTATCTACATAGATATTTTTGTTTCTGCCAAACCCAAAATCTGCAATTCCATTTCAATCATCATTTTTATTGAGATGGCAAAACATAGGCATACTAAACTCCTTATCATGGTGCGTCAGTCTCTTCCTCTCCACAAGGGACAAGATAGAGCTGTCCAGAGTTCAAATGCCCTGCTATCTCAACTTTCCTGAACTCATCTGTGCTTCTTGGCACAGCCCCATCATTAGTTACTTATTAGTCAGCATTTATTCTCATATTTACAATAAGGAAAATACACCCAATTGAGCTCTAACATATCAGATACTATAAGCGTATACTCATTTCAAATTCTAACAATTTTTCTATGGAAAAAATCACATCAAATTATATCTTTGAACTAGGTTTAATTTATACAAATTGCATTTAGTGCTTTTATAGTAAATATGTACATAAAACCAATTAAAATCTTTATATTTACACCTATAAAACAACATATCTTTTAAAATGTATACTTATCTCACTTGCCCTAAAATACTTGGACATTATTTGAACTTATGACACTTGTGATCTTATTATAATTACGCATAACAAACTTTCCGAGTACCACTAAGTCTCCTCCAATGATTTATGAGGAGCTTGCGCAGTGTCGTAAAATAAGAAAGAACAAAGACAGCAAGGTGTAGCCACAACAAGCTTACTACAATGCCAATTGAACACAGTGGATGTTGGCGTCCCTGCTACTTCCCTAACGGTACTTCCCCAATGATCCCCTAGATAGCTACTCTATATGATGGCCTGGGCTTGCATTTTATTTCTAGCAAAGGTTTCCAGCGGTCATCTTCTCTAGCCTAGACTAGGTAGGGGTGTATGTGCACGAGAACGCAGAACGCAAAACGGCGACGTTCAAGTCTCCGCCTCACGAGAGGGGCGGTCCGTTTTCCGTCTAGACTGGGGACAGATTGGACAGAACTACGACGGCTGGTTAGCAACGGCATTGCCTTGCACCGTTTGAGATACAACACATTTTCCTGGGAGCAGAGAGGCACTAGGCAAACAAGAAGCTAGGTAGAGCGTAGAGACAGCCTAGGACGAATTCCCTCTCTTTTGCTAAGGGGACAGTTTGACCGCCAGCCCGGCCAGCTCGTGAAACTGCACGAGTGCATTCGCTCTCTCCTTGCCCACCTCAATCTTTCCGCCACTGGACGTGCAGTTGCCGTGAGGCGCCCACCGCGCCCACTCCGCCCGCAGCGGCCGTGGTCAGTGCACTTCTGGGGCAGCTTGTGGGCGTGGCGGGAGCGGCGGGGGCCATGGTGGGCTCCTCGCCGTACCACTCCGAGGGCACCAGCAGCACGGGGTCGAAGGCCAGTATCTCATCCGGGACCACCGTCTGGCCGACCAGCGCCTCCACCACGTCCACGTCCACGTCGGGATCCACCTCGCCGTCCGCGTCGCTCGAGTTGTAGCCCGAGTTGTACCCGTCGCCGAGGCCCGAGTCCTGCAGCACGAGCGCGTCCTGCAGGTTCTGCACTCCGCAGCCCGCGGTCACGGCGGGCACGGCGGCGACCGCGGCGGTGGACACGGACACGGACACGGAGGCGGGCACGGACACGGCGCTGACGCTGCTGCTGGCGCCGTCACCGCCATCCGACGGGCAGAGGTCGAGTCCCATCGACGAGTCGGAGAGGGGCAGCTTGTCCACGTACTGCAACAATGCGCACAACAATGCAGCACAGCAACTCTCTCGGGCTTCCGCCGCTCCCTTCGCCGGGCCAACACCGCCAGCCTTGCCTTACCTGCATCAGGTTGTTGACGACGCTCAGGTTGTCCTCGTCCATGCTGCTGTCCAGGTCGAGCACGGACAGCGACGACGGCGCGGGCACCACCTGGTTGCGCTGGTTGTTGCGCATCTCGTTGATGGTCTTGGTGAGCGCCATGATGTAGTGCTTGGCCATGGTGAGCGTCTCGATCTTGGACAGGCGGCGCTCCACGTTCACGTGCGGTATGACGTTGCGGAGGGCCTGTCGGGGGACGCCGAGCGGCAAGCGTCGTTTAGAGAGACAGTCTTAGGGTGTCGTGGCAGGGGTATCACGGCGAGCGCCAAATGAGAAGCAATGTTCACCTGGAAGGCGTCGTTGAGGCTGTGCATCCGCATTCGCTCGCGCTCGTTGCTCTCCAGGCGGCGCGCGTTGCGTTCGCGCGCGTTCATCGTCGGCTTCCTCCTCCTGGAGCGGCTGGACCTGGCGGAGCGCTGTCGGGAGCCGGCGCGGCCCGCGCCGTCACCGCCGCCGCCCTGGAGTCATCATCGGACGTTGACAAACGTAAACCTCAATAAAAACAGTTTGCTTTTGCGAGCTGTCATTACCGATCCGCCGGACGGGCGCGAGGCTGCCCTGGCCGCGGCGCGCGCGGATGGGGCGCGCATGGGGGGCGGAGACACGTCGCCGGCGCGGCCCCGCTGCCAGCGCGCGCCCTGCCCGCCCTGCCCGCCGCGCGGCGAGGAGCCGCCACCGCCGGAGAGCCCCGCCGACGCAGCCTGGAACCGGAAACGCAAAGCGGTCAGCACAACCCGACCGGCTGGTGCTCTGCAGCACGCCGACGAAACAGAACAGGGCCCTACCTGGCCGCCTCCGGACTGCGCTGGCGGCGGCGAGGGCGAGTCCGGAGCAGACGAGGGCGTCGGGGAGCCCACCGAGCTCAGAGCCTCCTCCATGTCGTCCAGGTCAGCGTCCAGGTCCGCGTCCAGATCCGCGTCCAGGTCCGCGTCCAGATCCGCGTCCAGCTGCCAGTCCTCCTCGATCCAGGAGCGGCCCGTCAGGCCGCCCGCGAAGACGCCGCCTCCGGCCACCGTGAACGTGAGGGCTTCCGTGCCTGGAACAAGGCCTGCTGGGGGTCACGCCGGGCCGTCGCACAGTGGTTTTGCCAGAAGACCGGTGGAGGCGGCCAAAGGTCTAAACGCGTTTTGAGTCCTAAAGTAGCTATGGAACCGGACGTGCGACCCCACCAATCGATGGCTCTCCGAACGAGGAATCCATTGGTAGGGTCACACGATCGGTTCGAGTCCTGTTCAGCGACTCTGGAGCTCAAAACGCGTCTAGAAGTTTTGACCGCCGGCGCTGGACTTCTGGCGAATCCACGGTGTGTCGTGCGCATCGTGCGGAATGCCGCAGAGCGCCAGCACGTCGACAAAACAGCAAAACAGAAACAAAACGGAAAGCGCCCGAGGCATGCATGCCGCCCGGCCGGCCAGATAGGCCGCGCGGATGACACGGCCCGGCCCGGCCCGTCAGCGCCGCAATATCGGCATCGGTTCTGCCATGGCGCCGCAGCGCTGCAGATCACACAATGCGGATATCCCTGGTGCGGGGCAGCGTTCGTTCGTTCGTTCGTTCGTTCGGCATTTCCACAACACAAAAGGCCGAAAAGGCCGAAAGGCAGCGCCGCATCACGGCCATCCGAATCATTTCACCGCGCGGCCGATCGCCGGAGAGAGCGCGGCCGCGCCTCATTAATTCGAGCCGCGCTTGCACTGCAGTGTAGCCGTGAGGTCTATTGAGTGGATTTGTTAGCAGGACATGCGCGGCGTGTTCTTGGCCGGGCGGCCGCGGGCGCCGACGCAAGGCCTTGATGGATGGCCGTTGTAGTAATTAATTCGCATGCTCCACATACTGCTCGCGTCATCGATCTGATTTCGCGTCCGCTTGTGTGTGTGTGTGTTGTGTGTGTGTGTGTGTGTGTGTGTGTGTGTGTGTGTGTGTGTGTGTGCGCGTGCGTGCGTGCCTCGCGGCCTCCACTGCCGCGACGTCACGGCCTCGACGTCACCGCCGCCGCCGCCCGCTTTCGTCAGCACACTCGAATCAATCATCGTCCACCGGATGCAGTTATCTCGAAATTGACGCGAAGCGAGGAGCGAGGAGGCCGCGGGGCCAACCCGCCAGTGGCCGTCGCGCTGTCTCTGTCACACACCCGGGGGTCGCGCCGACGCCCCGCGACAGAGACGCCCCGACTCTCCGGCGAATCAGCGCTGTCGACCCCCCGGCTAATCTCCGCTAATGAAGCCGCAAGCCGCCCAGAGAGCGATCGCACTACCCGGAAAGCGACGGTTGCATTCAGGAAGGGCGCAACGCGCGGCAACGCTCGTGCGGGCGAAAGTGGTTTGCTCGCTCTGGGGACGGTCCTGCAAGGTCCGCGCCCGCCAGCCTTCGTCCTTCGCCCTACACGCCTTCCTCCCGCACGGCTGGCTGGCTGGTGGGCCGGGCGCGGCGTCTCACAGTGAGCCAGAAGACCGGCGGAGGCGGCCAAAACCCTAGAGGCATTTTGAGCTCCAGAGTCGCTAAATGGGACCGAACCGAACGTGTGACCCCACCACTGGATTGCTCTCCGAACGAGGAATTCATTGGTGGGGTCACACGCTCTGTTCGAGTCCTGCACAGCGACTCTGGAGCTCAAAACGCGTCTAGAGTTTTGGCCGCCTCCGCCGGTCTTCTGGCCCACTGTGCGTCTGGGCGGCGGTCGTCGGGCTGGTCGGCCCGATGAGGCTCCCCGTCGCCCTGGCAACGCAGAAGCGCCCAGCGCAGACGTCAGAGGACTTGGCGCCAATGCTCAGCAGGGTGTCAGGCAGGGTGCCGCTCGGTGCCGCCTGCCGTCTGCCGCCCCACCCGCGGCCAAGCGGCCCAGCAAGCGCCTCCCACCAAGACGGCCAGGGTGCGGACGACCAACACGTGGCTCGGGTGTGCATCGTTTGTCTCTCCTGGCCGAGGGGGAAATCACTCTTAAAAACTGTGAACCGACTACTCCCTATTACGTTTATTACGCTATTACAGAAGGCTTATTACGCTCGAAAATATCCAAATTTAGGCTAAAATCGGACCTTAAATAGGGCAAATTATAAAAAATTTGGCTATTAGGCTATTACTATTACGCGTAATACTAGGAATCGGTGACCCGACTATTACGCGAGTGCTTTCCCCCTCGCTCCTGGCCAAATTCACCTGGCCGTGAAAAAAATCAACACGATAAAGAAAATTTCTGCAGAAGAGGGCACCCCGGCGAACCAGCCCTCCCCTGCGCTGCGGCTCTGCTGCTGGGCGGCCGGCCGGGCCCCTGCGAACGGGCGGGTAGGCAACCCCAGCGACTCGGCAGCGAGCGTGTTGCCTACCCGGCGCTCGGCGGGCGCTCCCCGCACGACCATTGCCATTACCATTAGAGGCTGGACCGCGGCTAGCGGCGGCCCATTGCCTTTCGCCTTTTAATGCGGCCGGTGCCATCGGCCTGCGGTAATCCGGGCAGGTGTCGCGAAGGCCGAAGGCGGCAGCGCGGCAGGCAATCTTTATTATTAGTAATTTGATGGGCGTGTCTTTTAATATTCGACGTGTGTGCCGCCGGCCTGTCATGGCCGCGCCGCCCTTCAAGGGCTTATAAGGGGCATAATGGGGGAGGGGGAGGGGGGCTCTACATTGTACAATGCAAACAGGGTGGCAACAAGTTGCTCGCGGTAGAGACCCACTTACCGCAGAAAAAAGTAGCCATAAATTATGAAAATGGCTTCAAAACAAAGATAAAAAAGACGTGTTGAGGCTGAAGGCCGCCGCCGCTACTGAGCCTGCTTGAAAAAGTGGTTTATTGATCGAGCGAGCACCACAAGGAGAACAAGCAGGGCAGGCAGTGTAGGCAGCGCAAGCAGGGCAAGCGGCGCAAGTAGGCGAAAAAAGCGGTGCATAGCATTACGGCCCTGCGGGGTCCTTGACGGCCAGTAAAAGGACCTTCGCAAGGACCAAGGACGCGCCGCCGGGCCCAACTTTTAATTACGACCGGAAATATAATGTATGCATGACGTCGCGCCTCTTCCGGTCGCCCGCTAAGCCTGGCGGGGCGAGGCGGGGCGGGGCGGGGCGGGGCGGGGCGGGGTGGAGCCGGCAGGACTGAGATTTATAATCCGGCTCGGCACGGCACGGCTCGGTTCGGCTCCGTTCAGCGCGTGTGCATGGTCTTACCGCGCGCCGCGGGGAACTTTGTTCATCGCGAATGGCATACGGGGTGCCCCCGCCCCCGCCCAGCCCTGCCCCTCCTCCCCCCTCCACTTTGGCGCGCTCGCGCCGAATGGCTGCGATAGGCTCGGCAGGCTGGGCTCGGGGTCAGTGGGTCATCAGAGCGAAGGACACGGCGAGGACGGACGGGGCGAGGCGAGTCCCATGCGTGTCGCTCACTTTTGGAAGGACAGCGAAGAGGAAGAGGACAGGAAGGTGAAGCCGAAGCCAGTGCCCCCCCCCCCTTCCACCCGCGCGGACGGACGCGGACAGATGGGTAGATGGGTAGATCGGGGGCTCAGAGGATTACACGTGGCTCACGCGTGTTTGTTTGCATTTCCGATCAGCAGAACGTTGCGTCCTTGCATGCGTCCGCACGGCCTGCCCACCCTTGCAGAGCCTGCTTCGGCGCCGCACCAATGTTTAGAATATCCTTTCGCCAGGGGTGGGGGTGGGGCCGCCCCTCCTAGGATGCAGCGAGGAGGACGCGCGGGCAAGGGGTAGGGAGAGGGGGGTGGGTAGACAACTGAAGCCTCTCTCGATTTGCATGCCAAATCTCATTACACATTTCCCGCGTAACGCGCGCATGTACCGAAGGGTCGGGGATCGTTCGAGTGAAAAGGGCAGACGGGCCGGGAAACGGTTAAGAGAAACAACAGTGAGAAATGGCTCCGGTTCAAATCCCCGACAACTACTTTTTTCTTCAATTTTATTTGGGTTTTGTTTCCGGTTTTAAGAGTTGAAACGTGTGCGAGGTTCGATCGCCGACGCGGTTTCAATCACCAACCTGCAGCATCCTTCATCGAAAGGCGAGGGGCAATAAGCCAGCGTCGCTGGGGCCGAGCGAGCAAAAAGCACGTTGTGGACGCGGCGGGACGCGGCGGGACGCGGGCCCCGAGACTCATAAACTTCTCTGCTGGTCTCGGAGTATTCATCCGCACGGCGAAGGCGGGGCGGGGTGGAGCGGGGCGGGGCGGGGCGGGGCGGGGCGGGGCGGGGCGGGGCGGGGCGGGGTGCGGCGGGGTGCGGCGGGGCGGGGCGGGGCGTGCTTGCTGGCCGTGCCTCGACCACTTCAATCGGCCCCGCGGATTCCCTGATTCCCTGCCTCCCGGGATCTCGGATTCCGACTCGGCGATCATCAGATTAGTGCCGCCAGGGCGTCCCCGCCCTCCCCTCCCCCGGCCAGTCCCGACTAGCCTGTCCTGTCGGCGCGACGCTCTTGCCTAATTGCCGAATTGAAACCGATCCGTGTTCGGATCGTGTTTACAGTCTGGGCGCGCGAGTCCGGCCGCAGACGGCCTGCTGCGAGTTTAGTCCTTGGTCCGGGCCGCCGCCGAGCCGCCAGCCTCCACAGGACTTGTGGCCGCCTTGCCGAAAGTGCGGCCGCCCCCGTGACCGCCCCCGCGACCGCCCCCATGAACGCCCCTGACCGACTTGGCGACAGTCACACCCATTAGGCTATTAGCATGGTTCTTGCCGCGGCGACCTCGTGACCCTCATCACGGACGTCGCGGACGTCGCGGACCCCGGCCACTCGAAACGGCCATCTTTGCATGGCGTCGGGAAAAAAAATCTCACGCCATTTATTTTTTTCGAAACTTGATATTGAGGAGGATTGATTTAACAGCGCGCCTGACTCCAGGGACTCTGCGCGCGACGCGCATGCGGCCGTGGGAGTCGGATGTCCCTTCCCTTCCCCTCCCCCTCTTCCTTCTCTATGCAGCGCCACTGAGGCGGGAGGGACGCTCGCTCCGCTAACTTGTTGATTTCCCTCGATCGAGTCCGGGTGTGGCCGGGTATGGCAATTCCACACTACGCTGAACATGATCCTCTTCGGCAGCCTTTCCCTGGTAATGA